TAAAGGCCAATGAAAAAATGTTTGTTTCTCTAATGTTGGCCAACTGAAAAGAATGAACATGAAAAGAATGTGCATGTATAGCACTCAATACTTAGTCGGGGCTCCTTTTGCCTCAATAACTGCAGTAATGCGGCGTGGCATGGACTCGATCAGTCTGTGGCACTGCTCAGGTGTTATGAGAGCCCAGGTTGCTCTGATAGTCGTCTTCAGCTCCTCTGCATTGTTGGGTCTAGCGTATTGCATCCTCCGCTTCACAATACCCCATAGATTTTCTATGGGGTTAAGGTCAGGCGAGTTTGCTGGCCAATCAAGGACAGGGATACCATGGTCCTTGAACCAGGTGCTGGTGGTTTTGGCACTGTGTGCAGGTGCCAAGTCCTGTTGAAAGGTGAAGTCTGCATCCCCATAAAGTTGGTCAGCAGCAGGAAGCATGAAGTGCTCTAAAACTTCCTGGTAGACGGCTGCATTGACCCTGGACCTCAGGAAACAGAGTGGGCCAACACCGGCAGATGACATGGCACCCCACACCATCACTGACGGTGGAAACTTTACACTGGACCTCATGCAACGTGGATTCTGTGCTTCTCCGCTCTTCCTCCAGACTCTGGGTCCTTGATTTCCAAAGGAAATGCAGAACTTGCTTTCATCAGAAAACATAACTTTGGACCACTCAGCATCAGTCCAGTTCTTTTTGTCCTTGGCCCAGGCGAGATGCTTCTTGCGCTGTTTCTTGTTCAAGAGTGGCTTGACACACGGAATGCGACACCTGAATCCCATGTCTTTCATGAGTCTCCTCGTGGTAGTTCTTGAAGCGCTGACTCCAGCTGCAGTCCACTCTTTGTGGATCTCCCCCACATTTTTGAATGGGTTTGTCGTCACAATTCTCTGCAGGGTGCGGTTATCCCTAGAGCTTGTACACTTTTTTCTACCACATTTTTTCCGTCCCTTCGCCTGTCTGTTAATGTGCTTGGACACAGAGCTCTGCGAACAGCCAGCTTCTTTAGCAATCACCTTTTGTGTCTTGCCCTCCTTGTGCAAGGTGTCAATGATTGTCTTTTGGACAGCTGTTAAGTCAGAAGTCTTCCCCATGATTGTGGTGCCTTCAAAACAAGACTGAGGGACCTTTTAAAGGCCTTTGCAGGTGTTTTGAGTAAATCAGCTGATTAGAGTGGCAGCAGGTGTCTTCTATATTCAGCCTTTTCAGAATATTCTAATTTTTTGAGATACCAAATTTGGAGTTTTCATTAGTTGTCACTTATGAATATCAAATTTAAATGTAATGAACATTGGAAATACATTGGTCTGTGTGCATTGCATGAATATAATGTACAAGTTTCACGTTTTGAATGGAATTACTGAAATATTTTCAACCTTTTGATGATATTCTAATTTACTGGCCAGCACCTGTAGAGAGTGGGCACTCCTGCGATGTTATCAGAGGAGGCTTTGTTTGGGAACACAGGCTGACAACGTGTTCTCCCTGAAATGTCAAGAAGGTTGCAGTGTCCTTCTGGCGTGTAGGGAGATACAGTGTAAAATCCACTTCAGGGGATAGAATTAAGTCTGCAGATGACCAGTGGCATCTAGGTCAATATGTAGGTGGAAAATGACCATTTCTGGACATTACAACACACTGGAGAGACTATGTCTCATGGCTGGCCAGGGAACGCCTTAGGATTCCCCCGGAGGAGTTGGCCCAAGTGGTTGGGGAGAGGGAAGTCTGAGCCGTCCTGCTTAGGCTACTGCCCCCGCAACCCGACCCCGGATAAGCGGCAGAAAATGGATGGATGGATGGATGGAAAATTCTCACTATACTCTTACACACTGCACCTTTAAGTGACAGTGTGATGTAGATGTGTCACGTTTTTCAAATGTTTTTTATCAGAAGCTAATGCTGGCCATAGGCATAGGAGACTATTTTCATGACTATTGCATTAAAAACTCTGTGACCGTTTACAATCATCCATCCATCTTCTGAACCCTCTGGGGGGGGGGGGGGGGGGGGGGGGGCTGGTGCCTATCTCCAGCAGTCATTGGGCAAGTAGGCAGGGTACACCCTGGACAGAGAGCCAGTCCATCACAGGGCAACGTTTACAATCAGAAATAATTAAAAAATATTTTATCTGTGATCCACACCTTTAAGTCATACCTGTCTGCAGATTGCATTTAGTTACCGAAACAGATAATATCTTTGAAAATAAATGGCGAGCCCCAGACTTTGACCCTTTTAATGTTCAGACTATAAAAGCTGGGATTAATGTTAGATGGAGAAAATATTATAAGAAACCCCCAAAAGGCTATTTAAAAAAAAATCCTGCAGTCAAAATAAGCTGCTGTTCAACTTCCTGTCAGTATTTCTGTGACTCTCAAACAGCAAGACAAGAAAAATAAAACACCATCATGAAACAGATGTAAAAATTATTTCAGCACTGAGCACAGCCTCCTCTTTGTCACTGTTTATTTTCGCTGCATCTCGGGTTTTTGTGTCAGAATTATTCTGGCAAATTCTCTGCCAAAGCTGGAAGAAGGATTAGAGAGAAGGAAAAAAGGAGGATATAAAGTACAGTTTCACTGTGAGAAAACACTTATTTGACACTGTTTGGGTGAAAACAAGGAGCAGGAAGTGCCGATCACAGATGATTTTAATGGCAGTCCAAACACACAAACCACACGATGAAGGAACAAGACCTGGAGCCTTTCAGTTAAAAGGTTTTTCTTTAACAAATTCAAAAAGGGGGGAATTCTTGAATGAGAGGATGAAAAGCAAAACACTAAGATTTCCCCCACGTCCTCCCCCGCCTTCAAACTCACTGACAGTCATAGAAACGGAGGAAGGGTTAGTTCCCTGAGCACGGCTAAGCCTGGTACAAATGATGCCAGTGTAAGGCCTGCTGTAGTGCTGAAGAGATAAGCCGCTGATACCAAATGTTGAGGAAGAGACCCAGTCCAAAAGACAAAGACTAATAGACACATATTAGCTCAACAACAACAAGGTGGTAAATGAATAGGACTGCTAGCACACATACTAAGTCACAGACACATCCTTTCTCCTGGAGGATGATGTCACGGCTGAGGACAAAATAAAAACTCACTCCATTCTCCAAAGTGAGATTCACTACTTTGATCGGCTGAATGCAAAAGCACGACACGGAGATGAGGAGAAGGGTGAGGTTGAAAACTAGAGAAAAGAAAAGAGGGTTTCAACAGTTTTGCCATATTACAAATGCAATAGTGGTCTATCCTCTATCCTCTGAGCCTGGCAGAGCAACAGTGAGAGCGTCTGGATGGGATGGAAGCCTTCTATGCTCCCTCTCATTTAATTACAACACAGAGCTGCAGGATTAGATGGGGGCCTGTGTTCGCAGTCTCATACTGGCACTAACACAGAGCTATTTCCCTCCTCTCCTCCCCGAAATCTCCCGCCTTTCTGCTTCCTGGAATTATCTCCCATCTCCTACTTTTTAATATCGTCACTGCTCATCTTCTTTATCCTGTTCTCTTTCAGACTGTTTCTGTGATCAAGTCTTTCCTTTGTTCCAGCGTTTGTCCTCTCTGTTGTCTTTCTTCGCTTGTTCTGCAATCGCCGTCCCTCCTCCAGCCTCCCCACCACCCCCCACACACGCTTTAATCCTTCCATCCTGTTTTTGCTGGAATTTCATCTGCGATGCAGGCACATCTTTATCTCTGTCTCAAACACATGTTTACTCTTGATTATAAAGAGACAACTGTGAATCCTTTAAGTGGCAAAGTTGTGAGCGGGGCATGTGTTTGCTTGAAAATATTTGTGTATGTGTTGAATTGTGTGATTGTGACGAAACGGGAGTGTGAGCTGCGCGCTAATGTGTGTGTTAGGTGTTTGTGCCCCAACCGTCTCTCCAGACTGGAATGGCACATTGCCTGGGCAAGCCTGTGCGCGCACACACACACACGCATGTATGTGCGTACACACACACACACGCATGCATGTGCGTACACACACACACACACGCATGCATGTGCGTACACACACACACACACGCATGCATGTGCGTACACACACACACGCATGCATGTGCGTACACGCATGCATGTGCGTACACACACACACACACACACACACACACACACACACACACACACACACACACACACACACACACACACACACACACACACACACACACACACACACACACACACACACACACACACACACACACACACACACACACACACACACACACACACACACCTCTAAACAACCAGTGCCACCTCTCTATATCCTCTCCTGTCTTGATTAATGGAAATCCTGCTGCACGGCTAATTAAACTGGTAGCTAAAACGGCGCTTATTAAGTCGCTTCCACAGAGCATGGCGACCAGGCCCTCTAATGACTGGTTTGTAGCTAGCTACCAGGCATCAACACTAGCGCCGCAGAGAATGCTACCGTTAGTGCTGACAACTGTATCTTAACACAAAGTGTACTGTTAGCACAGAGGACTGATAGTAATTAATAATCACTAAATAATAAACACACACAGTCAGGTGCATGGGTAAACAGCGGACCTGCCTTTCCCTAAACATACTCGTATATAAACAACGACCACAGTGCTAATGTAGCAGAACACACATGCTCCATTAGAGTTAAATAAATAATAGTATTAATAATACTGCAACTAAATCATTAATCTGTCCCAGTGGATTATTCCAACTATAATACCTGCTGGTTGCAGCCATCACCAGAGGTTTGTCTCAAGTCCAACTAGATGAGCCAATTACAGCTGAGGATCTTTCCAGCAGAGATGTTAGTTAAATCTGAAAACACATCAGATCCTGCTGCTGCCCTCCTGCATGTAGAGCTGCTAAGATGGGAGAGGAGCTGCATTATTAGACCTCCATCTTGGTACTAAGTCTTCACGTTGACAGCTAATACATGGATGTTACCCATTAAGATTTTATTTCCTGCTATCCAAGTATGCACATTTGGGCAAAAAGAACAACTTTTTCATTTTACCACTCACATTTCTACGAGGGAAGGTGGTGAGGAGCTTGAATCCATCATAGGGGTATCCCTTGGAGGCCACAAAGTCAAAAAGGACCTGGAGCTTACAGCTGCCCAGGAAGCGCCTTTCCAAAAACTCGCCACTCGGTGTTCGGATTCTTAGTTTGCTGATTTGTTCCCCTGGATCTCCGTTTGGCTCTGCAGGTAAAGCCTGCTCCAACGACAAGCGGATTGCCTGGAAAGAGAAAATTAAATAGTAGTTTTGTCAACAAAAGAAATAAATGATTTTATAAATGCAAATGCATTTGCATACAGGTGTTGGACAGGTGTTGGTGGGACAGCTGCTCCCACTGGAGCTACCACTTCCTTTTTCTTTGCTAGCCAGAGGGCATGGTTGTGTGAAAAATGCGTTTTTATAATTCCATCTTTGGTTCTTTTTAAAACACAGGAAAGGTTTCTCTTTACCTTGCTGACAGTTTCGTTTGCCGACTGCAAAACATCCTCAGAGCTGACGCTGACGTCACTTCCTACTCTGTTTATCCGCGGGCAGCAGAGGACATTGTTGCCCTCTGCTGCCCACTTTCCCCTCTCCGATAATGCAGTCCCATGCACGATCCATTGTTTAAACCCCATCGTCTCTGTTCATGGTCCCACATCCACGTCTCCTTATCTCTATAGCTTCCTTTATCCATCTTTTGTAATTCTGTTGTTCGGTGTTTATGATCCTTGTGTTGTCCCAGTCCATTACATGGTTTACAATGAAAAACACAACATAAACACACCAACAAAACCATACACAACAGTTAGAAACAGACTAGTACACTCAAAAGACAAGATACCAGCTGGACATAAATGTGGAGTTGTTTACGAAATCCCATGCAAACTCTGCAATTAAACAGACATAGGAGAAACCGGACGCCAACTCAACGTACGAACAATAGAACATAGAAAGGAGTTTGAGAAAGAATCAAGTCGAAGACACACAAGAGCAGCAAAACAAGAAGCAGAAAGTACAATAAAGAAGTCAGCCGTAACAGATCACTGCACACGAGAAAACCATGTAATGGACAGGGACAACACAAGGATCATAAACACCGAACAACAGAAATACAAAAGATGGATAAAGGAAGCCATAGAGATAAGGAGACGTGGATGTGGGACCATGAACAGAGACGATGGGGTTTAAACATTGGATCGTGCATGGGACTGCATCATTGGAGAGGGGAGAGCGGGCAGCAGAGGACGACAACGTCCTCTGCTGCCCGCGGATAAACGGAGTAGGAAGTGACGCCACCATCAGTTCTGAGGAAGTTTGCAGCCGCGAACGAAACTGTCAGCAAGGTAAAGAGAAACCTTTTCTGTTTTAAAAAAGAACCAAAAAATGGAATTAGAAATCAGACACAGTAAGGACATACCAAAGGTGTTTTTTATAGTTTACAAAATACCACAAACTATAAAAACACACAGGACGAAAGCTAGCACACTTCAACAGTCATATTTATTACAAAAGGAACAAAAAGACCTATCAACTCAGATTAAGACACTCTAAAACATGTCAAATACATCCAAACAACCAGTCTGATTACTGCACTGTTGCTTCATTTCATTTAAAAATCCTTGTCCTAAAAATTAAATTAGCTGTCCTGTGTCTCACCCTGCTCCCTAAAGCCTGGCATAGCTCAGAAGGTTGCCAAGTATCATATCAGCACGTAAAATGAGCCAGTTGTAGAGCAACTTCATATCTCTTTAGTTTTCTCCAGCGATCTGAGACTGATCTCACTTCATTTCCCAGAGTTGACATGTGATGGTTTAAATTGTTGTTCATGATGGTTTATTTCACAGACAGTAAAGCTGATGTTACTTTCCACAACACAGTGAGAGGGAGGCTTATCATGCACAAAGGCAAACATCAACTGTCATCTTTCACAGCAAAGCTAATCAATTCTCCTGAGTTCCACAAAAACGTGCTTCAGCTGCTCCCTCGAGTGTCCTACTTCTTTCTGTGCCTGCCCCCTCACCTCCTTCTCCTCCCCCCTCCCGCTTGTTGTTCCTGTTTGGCCAGCCGGGGAGCATATGCTGTGACAACACGCCCCGGCTTTATTTACACACCATAATGCAATTATATTTCATAAGAGTGTACAACAGTAGCTCATTAGCAGCTTCTGGTGTTGGGTGGGCAGGGTAGGGCGCGTGCCGCTCCGCCATCAGCTCCCCCAGGTACACAAGCTGATGCTGACTGAGTTAAAGGAGCCCCTGAGGGACAAAGTCACACGCGCACACACAAAAACAGACAGGAGCGTATATGTTGGACACACAGATGCAGAGTCGACCTCAGACAGACGCAGAACCACCCACTAGAGTGGGGGGAAAGTGTCCCTAACAAAACCACAGGAAGCCCCAGGCCCCGGCAGCGCCGCACAAATAATCAGGTGCATCTCTTTGTCCATTCATGCACCTCTGCAGCTCCGCTCGGCTAACCGCAGAGAGCAAACAGATGACGATCACAGCCGAGAGAAGCATATGACAGCCACACAACTGTATGCTAAGACCTCATGAAGGAGGTAAATAATAATGTCAGCTCACATGTGCCCAACAACCCCTCCCCCAATTCATAGGCTCTTACTTTCATCTCACTTTTCTTTGCACAAAGGCACAAAATCACAGGGAAAGTATTCCCGTTAGCATTGTCCTCTCTCTGGTGGCCAGCGGGGTTTCTGTTGTCTGCACTTTCTCTAATACTCAGTGCGAGGTCACTGCCTCCAAAGTCTCCACAGAAAACTGAAAACAAACAAAATGGCCAATCACTAATTACAACAGATCTCTTTGTCTTTTCAACTTTGAAGAAATAAGGAAAAACAACAATACAGATTTATGAAAGGTTAAATGTTGTTAATGAAATGGTAGAAACATATTTTTAAAAATGTGATCACCTTCGCAGATGAACCGTGATATAAATTCTGAAATAAACTAAGTTTCTATTTGCTGAGGATGAATGTGAAACTGAATGTTAAGGACTCTGCTATGGTCTCTAGTATAAATTAATACTATCTCTGGGGAACAAAAGCTCTGGTGCTCCTGTTTCAGGAAAAAAAAACCTCATGCATGGAAATGTCTTGCTTTTCCAACAGCTCAACTCTGATTGGCTGACAGAAATGCAAATCTTCCACTGCCTCCATTTGTTTTTCTTTCTTGGGTAAAAAATGCTACTTTGATGTTTTATTTACAAGCCCAAACCTGTTCCACCATATTGTGGAGTTGCTAATGCTAATGGTTAGCTTCTACTAGCCAAGGCGTGCTCTGCTCTCTCCTGAATGCTAATTAACAACAGCTTTCCCCGTTACGAGCCAAGATGGGTGAGTCTATTAATGCTAATTTACTGTGTGACGTAGATCTGAGTAGCTTTTTCTGACCTGATAGTAGGGCTGCTCAATTAATCGAATTTTAATCACGATTACGATCTGAGTTTTGAACGATTATAAAAAACAAAACAAGCCGATTATTTGCTCCTCCCACTTGCACTGCCCTGAGTTGCAAATGAAACGCTCCTCCTAGGGTGTTGCCAACCTGGCGACTTTGACGCTATTTCTAACAGCTTCTCAGACCCCCTTCTTGACTTTTTAAATCTAAAAAGTACCTAGCGAACACCTCAGAAACATCTCTGGTAACCCTTAGCTACTTTCTGGATAACTGTCATCGACATTTCCTGCAGGTTAGCTGAACACTCCACCTGCGCTCCGGACCGTTCTTCAGGACATTAGGAAAGGGAATGATGTAGTGATGTGTCGGTCGCTAAAGAAACAGCTCTCAGAGTCGGCTCCCTGTTGGAGTAACCAGAGTGAGTGACACACACCGTACCTGCGGGCTCCTGAGCCGCTAAAAACGGCTAAATGTGCGCGTGCAGCTTGCTAAACATACGTGCAGCTTGCCCCTATTGCTGTGAGACCGGGTTGGGGGGTGGGGGTGCAGCTGTGGTTGGGACAATTATTACATTAACTGATGGACCTGTAAATAAATAGTTTATAAATAAGGTAGAAATAAGTTCCTCATGCTGATAAATAATAACTGATCTCTCTGAGGACACGATGCTAGTGCACACTGCTACAGCACCTTGACACGACTTCAATAAATGTTACACAACATTTTGTGAACATCAATTTATTTGCATGTATTTGTTATAAATGCCACTGTATAATTCTTGCTGTCAGTATTTGCAAGATATTGGTATTTGGGTCTTTACTGGTTAGACATAAATGAGCTAAACCAAGGTCTATATTCCTTGGGTCTTAAACTATGAGCTATAAGTATATTGGTCTTTTTATACTGGGAATCAGGAGTTATTTTAGTGATCGTCTTGTTTCTTGTTTATTTTTGTCCTGATTGTGCCCTGAGCAATTTTATGACTGAATAAAAACAAATAAAATCAACATAAATAGAAAAATCGTCCTAAATAATCGTGATCTCAATTTCAGTCACCATAATCGTGATTATTATTTTTGCCATAATCGAGCTGCCCTACCTGATAGTTCCTCCCCCCCCCCCTATTTTCCACTGGTTAATGCAGGGAATCAGGGTATTTGATAATTACTGCATGGGTGATTATCTTTAATTCATTGTGACTCATTGTTACTCAAAATGAATAAGTATTATTGTAACTCTGCTACCGTCCAAAAGCCACAATAGCGGCAGAGCGCTGGGTCTGAACACCGCATAATATACGCTAAAACCGGCCTAAGACAACGAGAACCAGTGCACAGGTCCGTTGCAGTCGAAGAGATTGCCCCCATTGGACGTAAACTAACCTATTAAGTCCTGATTCTGTTCAATTCTAGGCCTTGCCGACGAGCTACATAGCTGCGTCTCCGGAGATAGGAGCTGATAAGTCAGAACCGAGCGGGAAAACCCGCCGCAGACGCCTGCGTCTACATTAAAATCCCTTTGGGTAAACATTTTGGCTCTTAAAACTGCCATGTTTTAGCCAAAAACCAGAGCTCAGCTAAAAATCTCAGTTCGCCTGTGGATCTGATTAAAGGGAGTGATGCAACCGTGCCTCACCTCCATTAATCACGTTCCTTTAGCCCGGTGCTGCCATCTACTGGCGGGGTTTTCACCCGGCTCAAAAAGCTCGAAGCTTATCTTTCTCTCTAATTTCTTATTCCTCGAAATAAGGTTTCTAGTGCATCATCACAATGTCATACCAGCATCACTATCTGGTTTCTTTCCTCATTGGAATGGCATAGGAAAGGAAAGCTGACATACAGCGGCAGTGTTCCACTCCGAAACAGAAATTGCAAAACATGGAAGAAACTGTCTCATCTCTGAGTAACACGCTGGATGTAATTGAACAAGATCCTGATGTTGTACAAGAATTAAATCTCTCTGCTGTTGATCTGCTTCCAGAACAAATTCTGAAAACAGAGGATAATCCTTTTGATTCTCACCTTCAGGAAATAGGACCACCTTTTCCCGCTACACTGGAGACTGATTCATCCGCAACGGATGAAATTCCGGTCCACCCTGGCGTCGAGTCCGCCAAAATGTTCTTGGGACACCTGGTGCCCCAGGAGAAGGCTGGTAAATCTCTGGTGTCGGTCAAACTGACCCACAATCTATCCTGCAACGCACTTCTTGACACATGTTCAGATTTTACACTTAAAACTCGAGCGATGTTCGACCGCATCTGCATTTCTTGTGGAGCGGGGGTCAGACCCCCAGAACTTGTTCCATGTTCTGCAACTGTCAAGACTTTCTCTCATGACTTAATCTTGTCTTCTAGGTCTGCCCTCCACTTCTCAATCGGACCCATGACTCTGACACATCCCGTGTACATCTCCGAGCATGCAAGGATGCCTTTCACCCTTGGCATGGACTTTCTGAGGCGCATTGATGCTTTCATTGATGTGGAGGGGTGGGTGGGGGGGGGGGGGGTGGGGGGTGGGGGGGGGGGGTGGGGGGGGGGGGGCTCTGGTCAGGGGTTGAAGAACCTCTGCCCATCGTTCTGCCTCCTGACCTCCACTGTCTCACGGTTGGTAACTCTGAGCAGGGGGGAACAACATGTTCACCACCTAGCCCAGAACCTATGCCACCACAGATTCAGCTTTCATCAGAGTCACATTCTGTTGATTTCTCTAACGTAGCTGATGCTCCTACCACTGTAGTCGAGCGAGACAAACAACAACGTGTGTTAAAATATCCTGATTGCTTGATTTCTCTTTCCACCATGTGGGCAGGTAAACACCTTTCCAGTTACATCAGTGGCCAGAAACTCAGCTTTGAAACTCGACTTCCGCCAGTGAAATTCCTTAACAGTCATCTCAACAACTTTACAGACCCTCTTGCCACTCAAGGTAAAGATGTGGGCACCCCATGGTCCCTCAAACCCTTGTGCCCCCCTGATGATGCATCCATCTTTCACCCATCTGGTGGGGTTGTGTCTGTTCAACTTGCCTTTTCTATAAATGACCTTGTCAGTCTTCAGTTCCAGGACCCTGCTATCAGCAGGATGATCTTGCACCTTTCTGATCCGAAACCTAATCTACATCCTTCTCTGGAGTTTGACTCCGTTCCTGAGCTGCGTGCTCTCTTTTGTGTTCGTGTCACTCCTCGTTCAGGTGTTGTTGACCACAACGGCGCCGGACTGACCAGGGAATCCAGTACCTCTAAGATCGTTGATGTCCACAGAGCCTGTGTTGTCCCTGCAACAGAACCACTCCTGCCCGAGTTGGGAAAGCCACCTGACCCAGGGGAGGCTGACGCTGGCAGCGACGCTCCGCCTGAGACCACACCCTGCAGTGGGAAGACCACCTGCCACAGGGCGAGTTGATGGTGGCACTGAGACTCCAGCTGAAGCCCAGTACTTTGCGGTGGGAACACCACCTACCAAAAGGGGGGCCGACGCCATCACTGACCTTACTCCACTACAGCTGGTGCTGATGACTGCTCCTGCAGTGGGTGACTTACCTACCAAAGGGGGGGTCAGATGTCGCCCTGTACCTCTACTGGCTGACCCTGATCTCTCTGATCGCACCTGTGTGTCGACCGGGGGCCCTCCAGAGAGCACATCTGCTCCGGACCCTCGTAAGGCTGCGCCTGCACCTGCCTATAGCCTAGAGCATTCTTGGTTTCAGTCTTCAGGACCGACAATGTTTCTCTTGCTAGTCACATGTTATGATACAACTTTGTTTTATTTCATTGTTGATGTGCATTAAATGTACATTTATTTTTGGCTGGGCAGTGTGTATGTTGCATTCATTCACAACAGAAAAAAACATTACAAACTTTTGACTAAAGTTGTTGAAAGATGAACAACATAAGTGAATTAACAAGCTAAATTAAATACTATAAAAAAGAAGCTCATCAGAAGTACGATCACATAGAAATCAGCCAACAAAGAAAACACCAGATCTCATATTTACAGTATTAATATTATGGTTGGTTAGAACAGGAGACTGAATGGAAACCACTGGACTTGGGCAGGGAGAGAAAATTAATCTAGGTTGGAGCTACAGAGGAGAAGTCATTTGTTTAGCACACTACAGTGATATAATTAACAGCAGGCTTGGTGCTCTTTTGTTGTCATTTGTTTAACTTAAGTGACCAATCACCAGAGCGAGCCGGGTCACCCAATACCTCTCTCTGCTTTACGCCTCCTGCTGCTGAGTAAACAACAATCTCCCAGAACTACACTGTGTTACAGCAACGCTGCCATCATTACAGACAATTATCGTTTTCTTGTATGCGTGACATTGTGTCTGTGTGCGTGTGTGTTTTCCCCTATCTCACAGACAATTGTTTTCGAGAGAATGTGTGTTTGCTTAAATTGTGTGTGTGTTTTTGTGCACATGCCGGCCTTCATGACTTGCTGGAATCTTTTGTGCGGCTGGGTTTGAATATGAGGTTGTTGTGTGCTTTACCAGTGGAAGGCGGCTCAACAGAACAAAGACTGTGTTTATGGAAGGTGACATTAACAAGCGCTGGTAGGAAATTAGGATGTGTTATTAATCTGAAACGGTTCTTTGAGTTTAAATCATCACCACAAAAGTTTCAGTGACAGTCTGATTCCCCCCAAAACCACAACATAATTAACTAATTAGAGCCGAGTGTCAGAAGGGAAGCTAAAAACAGGACAGGAAGCATCACACCATCATAAAGAGTTGGTAAAACATATTACTGTTCAGTCTTGCACCGCTAATGATGAATTTTAATTCTGGCCATGTGAAAATGGGAGTTATAACTGTGGTTCTCACCTCCTTCTCCTCCTCCTGCTCCTTTCTCATCTGCTCCAGACGTACTTGCTCGGCTTCCTCTCTTTCTTGGGCTTCTCTCTGAAAAGGAGAGAATTCATTTAATATTAATCGAGTCAACAAATAAAAAAAAATAAATCTGCTTTGCTGACTTGGGTGTTTCCAACACAGTGTCGCTTTGCCTTGATGAATATTTAATAATGTTTTATTAGAGCTCCAAACAACCTGTTTTTAGGCAGAAGATTTATCCACTAGTTTACACAAGTGAAATTACAATTTAAGTATTATATCATTCGTGTCTCAAACAGATTCCTCCTGCTTTAACAAGATCCAGAAATGACTACCTGCTTTTTTTCAAAAGTACCTTTTTACGGTCAGCCTCTAAAGACAAACGATAGGCTTCATCCTGTTCCCTCTTCACCGTCTCCCTCGCCTCGCGCTCATCCTGAAGAGGAAAAAAGTTAGACCTGTTTAACTAGCTACATAATAAAAGGATACACAAGGACAAAACGTCTAAGCTGAGGTGTCGATTTTAGAAGCCAGACAGAGCTGGGCCAAAGAAAATGCAGCATGTGTGGTTACATACAAACATCAGGTATGAAAGAGTAGCACTAGAGGGGAATTCATTGTGACCGGGCTCGTCATTTACTAGGCCCTGAGCCTCTTTTATGTCTCCCGTTCTCAGTTTCACCCTCCCTTTTCTCTTTCATTCATTCAGCCCCTCTCTTCCTGTTTGTACAGAGGGAAGGGGACAGGCGGCCTTTCTCTTTCTACCTGCTGCGGCTACAAAGTGTTTTATAAAGACTTGGTCTAAATACGAGTGTCCATTGTGTTAACACCGAGCAGCCATTAGTTTTCTATATTCTGAAGGCCCACGCTGTGTGCCGACCCGGATATGGCAAAGTAAGCTCATTGTGACAATCCGAAGGGCTACTGTGCAGAAAGGCGGCTAGGCAAAATGGCAGTGTGCATTGTTGTATTGAATCAGAAAATGCAAAGATACATTTGTGCTTTTGGCCGACATAATAGGGGAACGCTGAAAGGAAACTGTAAAAGAAAGGTGGACGGGGACAAAAGCATCAAAAGTGCCTGCCATCAATAGGCGAGCTCTGAGTCACGCAAACAAGTGAGCGAGCAGTTCATGTAGGAGTCTTTTCAGCTGTCGTTCCCAAACTCGCCGTCGAGGCTGATGTGAAAAAGCACAGCGTGGTGCAGCTAACGTTTATCTTCACAAACACCATGTGATTTTTAAAGCTTTAACTTTGGAGGGAAAACAAACAGATTTTCCCACAATTAAATTGTGGCTACTGTTCAAGTTGGCGCACCATGCGTCGTCTTCCGAGTGTCGATGATACACTTGGTATTCAGAAAAATCAAGCTGTCACACATTTAATGTTTGCTAACAAATAAGGGGAGGGAGAAAAAAACTTAACTGCTCCGCTTAATTTGCTGCTTAGTTTTGTGACCAAGTGGCTCATTGCCAAATGTGTTTCCAAAAAAATAATAAGTTGGGATGCTGAGAACATGTAAATAAAAAAGAACACATTGATTTGCACAGCATTTAAACCCTACATATGACAGTCTGAAACAAAGAAATTGGATTTTTACCACCCTAAATAAATGCTTTCTTGGAAGTTTATTACATTTTGTTTTTAAGTTTTGATAGAACCAACTTTTACTGATTTGTACGATGTCTTCCTAAAATAACTGTGATTAGAGAGGACTTCTTGCTGCAGCACTAAAAGTTTGAACATTCCTGGCTCGCTCTGTAAATGAGGAAAGAGCACAGTGGCTCAGACGGATCCATAAACTGGGATGTTGTACATACTGTAGCTTTAACACTTCGTTAGAAGCAAGAGCAGTGACCTGAGAATGACCCTCCAACGAGTCGTCCAGATAAGTAATGACAAAGCTAAAAACTACATGAAGATGAAAGTGACGTGTCAGTGAGGCTGGGTGAAATCACACTGTGGCTGCCCAGCTGCTGCAGTTCAGTCAAGACGTCAGCGTCAAAGTGGAATGTCTGGGTTGAGTCATGTCTGAGTGTGCTTTGAAGAGGTGAGATGAAAAAAGGCACTAACAACAAATATCATCATTACTCAAGCTCTCTGCAGTCATCCTGTGAAAGTTTACAGTCATTTCTTACAACAAATCAATTTTCTAAATACTCACACTGCGCCCTTTGGTCTTCTGTGAAGTGCACTTGGAGGAAGTGCGCAGAATGGCTTTAAGTGTGCAAATAATTACAGAATTGGGACAGCGACCATGACGCATGCTTTTACATGGGCATGAATAAGTAGACGCCCCATTGGGCGCTGGAGAGCGTAACAGCGTCGCCGATATATTGGATTGGTCTCCTAACTCTCCAAAGTCAAAACAGAATGAGCAGCTATGCTTGTTTTTGTGCAGCCTACGGTTGCAACAACCGGCGTACTATTGAAAACAGATCATGCAACATTACTATTGACTTTTCTAGCCTACCTTATGGGATCGTATATTTGAATTTATTTTGTTTATTTATATTTACATTAATCTAAGATGGTGGCCAGCCACTACGGCAGCTCCAATAGGAAGCGCCAGTCCAATGGCGCGTCTACATATATATGCCTGTGTGCCGGTATGCCTGTCGTTTTTTGTGCAACACTTAAAAAAACTTGAACAACTTTCAAGTAATTGACAAAATTGTCATGTATTGATAACCACATTAAATCTTAGTCTAAAATATCCAAAAGCATGAATAAATATTAACGTCTTATTGTTTTTATCTGCTGTTGATGTCTTGTTTAGATCCTTATGGCCTTTGTCTTTGTTTTAATTGATCGTGCCTGTACAGCACTTTGGTCAGCTCTCACGCTGTATTTTAAATTGTGCTATAGAAATAAAATTGGTATGATATGGGTCTTAAAATGAACTTCTTTTGTTTGAGAAGACATATTTTCAGAAAAGTCACTTGAGCCATTGTTCTTCTCTCTAAAAAATTCCCAAAACTGAAGGGTGCAGGGGTGGGAGTGTGCGTATTGAGATTGGGCTTAGATCAAAATCTCAACAACAACAACAACAACAAAAAAATACTTTGTCAGATATCAGTAAATGTCTGGTTGAAATAAAGATGTGTACAAAGTGGTGGAAATAAACTTTCAGGCAGGAAAAACAACAAAAAAGCTCCTGCTAAAATCATATTCTAACAGATTTATAGCAAAGTCTTGATTTCATGTGAACTATGTCAGGTTTGGAATCCTTCAGTTCTGCAGATTTCTTGAGCAACAGATTGTGTTTTGAAACAATTAACATTGGAGGACTTTAGCGCTTTTATGTGTGATAACTGAAACAACTGCATTTTATAGAAATAAATGATTGTGTTCATCAAAATGATTAAGTATCCTTCTGATGTCCCTCTGTTCCAGTTGATCTGAAAATAACAAAACAAAAAAGTTTCCCAGTAAGGCCAACGGTGTGTTCCCTGTACCGTTGCTACCAGCTAGTTGTCATCGGTGAGCATTTGAAGAGCCACCAAAAGTGACAACTCTTCAACAAAGTCAGTAAATTAGACATAATAACAGAGTAAGTGATATGATATGGGTCTTAAAATGAACTTCTTTTAGTAAGTTAACCCTCGGGTGTGTGTGTGTGTGTGTGTGTGTGTGTGTGTGTGAGATTCCTCAGAACCCCCATGACAAAGGTGTTATGAATCTAACGATGATTTGTTAGAGGATTAGCTTGGCTGACTGATTCTTTTTGTGTTCAAAAACTCATAAATTAATCCAGAGTGACACCTGTCATTTATAGATACTGTAGTTAGAAAAGACACAGAGCTGGAAAGACTGACAGCCCAGTGTGAAAGCAGAACAAACTATAGCAAAAGTAAAACCGCTTCAATTAATCTGAAAAAGTTTTAGAGAGGCGTACGAAGAGTTCTGCATAATCATTACTACAACAGATGGATCATCATTACCAGCCTGTAGATGGTATGGTATAAATAACTGTGTGACCATAGGTAATTAAACTAAATACACAACAGTCTTGAAGATTTAGCCCCAACAATTACTTCATACAAACAGAGAAAAAGGTTGGTAACAGAGTAACGAGGCAAGCTGATTTTTTCCCCCGGACAAATTGTAATTTATCGCTAAAATTAATTAGATCCACTGCTTAAATGGCACAGATTCACCTGGCATAATAATGATAATAATCATTCTAATAATTATTATAAATTTCTTTACTGTTATTTGGACTGTTAATTAAGATCTGTGAGTCAGAACAAAAAGCTTCAGGCACATTTAATCCAGTCAGAACTTGGCCTGCTGCTAGAACTTTGTGTCTTCAATCAGAAGCTCCTTCATAAAAAGGTCAAAACTTTAACAGATTAGGCAGAATAGTTTTATTTTTTATTTTGAAGGAGAACCATGTCAATAGTACTGATTCACGCCAACTAACTCAAATGAAATATAGGGGTGTAAAGTTACATTTATTCATATTTTTTAAGTGACAGTGTGTATTTTCCCTGGTGATTGGGAGCAGTACATACCTAAATCATTGCAAGCAAGCATTATTTTTGTGTTCAAATAAGACCTTACCAATGGATGGCCATTAGGGTAAAAAAATCCCTGAGAGAACAGCCTCCAGCAAAATAACAAGAACATCAGATTCCCTTTCATCACTGGCAACAAGTGAAGAGGTAAATGTGTAAAACAAAAATGTTTATTGTTGGTAAAAGTTTTGTAATCATTTGTTACAAATCAGTAAATGTGTTTTGTCCTCACAGGCTTCCGTAGAAGGAAAACATGGCATCCAATATGGTGTCACCTAGGGCTGGGCGATATAATCTGAAGCATGTGCGATTACCATATATACCGCAATATATTTTTTCCTTTGTTTATATATGTCAAAATGACATGCTTTAAAAAATCCTCATATGGAAAATATATTGCAGCAGAATAAAGACGTCCAAAAAGTGTAGAATGCTCCTCCTCCTCCCGCTACATGCTTGCAGTCACTGCCATTCTGTTGTTCCAATGTCGGCGCTGGTGCACATCTTAGTGACATCATGTGTTATCGCGATATCGCGGTAGAGCCAAAAACTTATCATTACCCAATTTTATATCGTTTCTACCTCATGTCTTTTATATTGCCCACCCCTAGTGTCGCCTAGAGACTTAGGCCCAATCCCAATACTTGCACTTGCACCTAGGGATGGGTACCTTTGACATTTGAATCGATCCGGTACTAATTCCTGGTACCTACGAATCGATACCGGTACTTAACGGTACCAATTTTCGATACTTTTGAGTGTTTATTATTTTAATTCTCTTTTATAATTAAATACATATTTTTCTCAATATATAACAATATTTGATAAATATCACGATAAATAACATACAACTGTTTGTATTTTAACATCGCCCTTGTAGTTTTATAAGCTGATAATTAAACTGATGCAAACATCTTTACTGTGAACTAAATTTACTGTGTATCTTCATTCCTTTTGCCATCTTTTTTCATTTGATTTTTCCTACTGGGAAGTTAGAATTTCCGAGGAGAAAGCGAACGCACCATTAGCTGATAACAATGGTAGCAATGGAAGCTAACATATCAAGCTAACAATATCTTAAACAGTTTATTTAGCTGCTGGAGCAGATTTAAACGATGCCTCACACTTAGATCGTCACTGGTTTCGTCTTCACCCGTCACATTTAGTAAAGTGAAGCCAAACTTTAGAGCGCGTTCATGTTCTTCTAGTCGGAAATTCGGAGTTCCGAGGAGAAAGCGAACGCACCATTAACGAAACGGAAGCTAACATATCAAGCTAATTATATTTACCTACCGGAGCAGATTAAGATGAGGATGTCTCACTTAGATCGTTGTCGCTGGTTTCATCATCCAGTTACCCATCACATTTAGTGAAGTGGACCCAAGCTTTAGCGTGCGTTCTTTCTACCATGCTGCTCTGTTTACAACTGGTTCACAGCAAGCGACGACAAAACGCTCTTGCGCATGCGCAGCTGTCTTGGCAAGTTCTCGTTATGATGGACGGGTACCGAAATGAGGCACCGTTTGAAATGACGTGAATCGGTGCTCGGTCGGTACTATGGAATTCGGTCGGTACCTTAAAAAGTACCGATTTCGGTACCCATCCCTACTTGCACCCTTCATTTGCGCGTTCCCGGCCAGCGGTGCGAGTGTGTAGGGTGTCCCAATTCTCAAGTGCGGAAGATGACCATGCCCCCATTGCACCCTTAATCTGCACTTCACCCAAGCCCGCAGCGATGCAGACCTCGGGCAAGGGTATTACCCACAAGTCATTGCTGCAGGAGAAAAGGCTCAAGTTCCTTTTCTGAACATATGTATTTTCTAATGAAATTCGTTAATTTTAGGACAATTAGTTGATGATCTGAATGTTTGACAAAGCAGCAATGAAGTTACATTTATTTCAAAAATTTGCTTTGTTGTTTGTTTTAAAGTTGTGAATAAAGGTTTTTGAAAAAAGTTTCACAGCGACCAGCATCACGGCACGTGTTGCGATCGATGACGCAATGCTCCCTGTCTCAATTCTGCAATTATTTGCACACTTGTGTACTAAGCACTCGAACCCTACTGCGCACTTTCTCCAAGTGCACTTTGCGAGTATTGAGATTGGGCCTTGGACCCGCTCCCATGTATTTTAGAACAGCTTTTTATAGTTATATGTTATAAAACCTCCTATATTTTCAACAGCTGGGCAACTTTTAATTCATTTACAACAACATTTTGATGGATATTTCCAGAGATTAGTGGTAAAAACTGCACATTGTCACTTTAAGGAGAAAGTAAATTCCCTGAAGATAGAAACTATTTACATTTCCAATAGTTCAGCCTGTTCTTTCAGTTACAGCTGAGGAAGCTAAAGTACTTATGTCACAGTTTCTTAAATATGAAAATTCTTAAACTGTTTTATAATATTTATTTATTTGTTCTAATTTATACATTTCTATGTTAGCTAAGAATATTTTGTTGGAGAACATACTGCAAGTAGTTTGATTTTAAACGTCAAAGCTGTACCTGCTCACACAAAAAAACATTTTCTTTCCGCTTTATTTCCTCACTGTACCAAAAACTAACCAAACCGTGACATTCAAACAAAGGTGTATGCCAAACCGAGATGCTCAACGTACCGTTACACCCCTAAAAATAACCTTTATTATTTCTTTGCATTATGTTTCTGCAGGTCCAGGTTTCCTGGCGCTGCTCCCATCATACCTCGTCTTTGATGTCTTCTTGTTGCTGTGCTGTGAAAATCTCCATGGCTCCCATTAACCTCATCATCAGCTCGTCCACTGTCGTATTACCTGGAGAAAATTTTACAAAATCAATACAATTCTACCGTAATTTACTTTCAAATCAATTGTAGATTACTATTTTTTTCCCAATAATGGAATAAGAATTACCTTGAATGACATTTAGAACTTCATTGGATGTGCGTTTGCCCATAACTATAAGCAGCAGGGGGAACTGGTCTGTTTTGTATGTCCGTATAGTTTGTGTTACTACACTGCCAAAATGCCTCGTGCACATGGTGAGAAGTCTGAAAGACAGAGAAACTTATCTTTTAACCTTCTTTTCCAGAGTTTGTGACCTGAAATGATGTATAACCCTCAAAGCAGAAGACACATTCACATATGAAAGTGCTATAGAAAAAGAAGTACACACATACACACATTTTCAGACAGCGGCAGAAAAGAAAATACGCACACTCATGACTTTAAAACCCATTCTGCATTTTCTTATTCCATCAGAGTGACATGCTACCTCAGTTGGAACCGTACATGAATTAGTATTCTTCACCAGACGCCCAGAATTGATAGGGCAAGAGAGGATTTCTTATTCCATTACAAAGACAGAACTTTTTAAATTAACATTTCAGAGAGGGAAAAGGGTAGCCGGCAGCCGGGGCCCCGCCAAGCTCCCTGTAAATGTCATAATATTAATGAATTGCTATAGACTGAATGCAAATATAGATTAGCTTTTTCTCCTGCCTTTTAATAAGATCTACTTTAATAACTTGAGTGGTAAAATAGAGAAGTAATGGAATGGATGGAGGTACGGCAGGTCAGAAATAAAATAGATGGAAGGGAAGCTGTAGGAGGGAGGGTGTAGCTCATTAAAACACAAAAGCTATGGGAGCTACTTGCAGAACTTTTGGACTGAGAAACGGAGTACCAAATCTCACTGAGGAAGTTTTTAAATCACATAATACAAAGTAAAACTTGGATGTTAGAGTAAAAGACCAGAGAAAGTGCTTTGAACTGTGATTAAGACAGAACATTTTCAAATAAACTCTAAGTGACCCAAGACTTTCAGTGAAAAAGTTGGGTCACCTTAATTTTACGGATCATTTTGATCTGACATTTGTCCCTGTTCAGCGCTCGACCCGCCGTACCATAACAATAGCCCACGGGGAAACTCTAACCTGTAATGAAAGGCCACAGGACAATGGACATCGACTTGAAGGGTAACCTTATCTTAAATCTCTCAACAAGCACAAGCCAACCTGCTTTGGTTCTCACTCAGAGCTGGAAAAGTCAGTCCTCCTCAATAAAATCACAGCTTTACAACATGTAAACGCAACCTAGACGTCTACATTTTCTTTTATGACTTCAAACGAGACCAGAGGATGTTCAGCGCGTATGAATCCATCTACAGAACAAGTCTGGACACATAACCGAGGGCAGGAGGAAGTTGAGCTACTCCAGGAACCAAGGTGAGCAGTTCGACTGTCTCGCTCAGGCAGAATATAAAATGGTCAAGAATGTAATAGAGTCCATACCTGACCTACAGCTTGAACAAAAAGTGTTAACTACATGTGGAAGAAACACCTGACAGAACTTGTAACTAACGAGTCTGAAGCTCTGCCTCAGCGGCTAATGTGACTGACAGCTTCTAATCTGTTGCCCATCCCATCTCCATTTTTCAGAGCACAAAATAGTTAATGTTTCTCTGGTCTGTCAGCTTGCATTTCTTCACATCCAAGGAGTGCGTGTTGACTGGTAGGACCTGACATTCGCTCCACTGAGCAGCTGCTGAATCAGGCTAGCGCAGTAGCACTGCGGGCGATGTTTCTGCTAGCCACCTGTTCGGGGGCTGCTTGGGAACCGGATGCTCTGACTGCACACTGTGTCGTACGCACTTTGTTTCAGCACCAATGCATACATGTTATGATTTGAAAGCATTTTCTTTACCCTCCGAACCAGTTATGTTCTAAGGTTGGAGTTTGTCAAAAGCAGAAGTCAAGAGAACGAAGCAGGTGTTGCTTATTAATCTGCCCCACCCTTAGCTGTAGCAACACAATGACTAGAGACAGAGCAAATTCATTAAGTGGTTTCATTCTAAGGAAAGACAAATAATCTATTTATTGTTAGTTTTAATGAATGTCATGTAAAATTATATCATACTGAATGCACAAGCTACCAGATTTATTTCCCACAGTTGTCACAATAACACTGCCATCCAATCATCAGCGCTGCTTTTATGCATAATTAATCAGGGAGGCCTGCGAGAATAGCACATTCCAGTATCAGCAGGTTTATCACACACACTCACACACAATTAGGATACCTTTCCAACAGCCTGTGTGACTGATGCCAATCACCAGTCACTTTGGATCAACCAGAGCGTGAGAATGGAGAGCAGCAGCGTATTTGTGAGTGAGTTAGTGTGCACATGTGCATGCATGCGTTAGCAGCAAAGCTGCGGCTAGCTGTGTGCGATGAAAAGCTCCAGATGTTGCCTCTCTTTTAACGCGCAATAAAAAGGCTCAGCTGGGGCAAAAAGCAAAGGAGGCCAATAGGAGAGAAAAGGAGAGTGGAATGAAGGAAGGAAGGAATTTCCTTAAAAGAAATAATGGGAAGGCTGAGGTCAGGGAGCGGGTCTTTCTTAAATGACTGGTACCAGAGGGCAAGCTTAGCTGTGGAAGTTTGAGCAAGAGAACTAAACAGAAACGAAATAATCAGGATGAGAGTAAGAAAAAAAAGAGAAAGGAGTCCTGCAGTGAAGACTTAACCTTCATCTCCTCTTCAGTGGGAAATCTCACCTCACTTCTTTTTTTAATAAATGTATCTATTCAATGAGAAACTTTAGCAGTGACTACACCTGACAAGCAAACATCCTCCAAACAAGAAAACGACCAAAACAGGACACTGAGGCTACGCTCAGACTTTAGGGATAAATGGAGTGATGGAGATGTTTGGACTCCAAGAGAGTCATTCATCTCCCATTGACCCTCTTTTCAGACAGCTTAGTCAAAAATGCCCAATCAGGGGCCTCTCCATGCAAACACAACGCCTTTTGTTAGTATGCAACCTCCGAGCTTCAAAAGGAGAAAGAAGCTAAAGAAAGAATGAGAAGACAGAGATGCAGGGTGTGAGCCGTGGAGTACGAGCTGAATGCTAGCAATTAAGTACGTGCCAAATGAATTATAACCTGCAGGTCATGTGACTAATGAAGTTCTGTCAACACGGATATTTGTTATTAATATTTGCTCTTTTTTTTTATAAAGCAATTTTTATCTGTCAGTCAATGAAGGTCAAGATGGTCAAAATTTCATAAATAAAACAATTCAACATCAAAGCAACAGAAAGCATCCAGATGAGAAACACTCATTCAAACAGCCATTATGGGAAGACAACAGTTTAATACCTTCTTACAAGGTGGACAATCAATAATCTACTCATAGTTCAGCAGAACTACAAACAGTTCCCACTTTGGGTCATTTGGGAAAAAAAGACTTGTAAAGTTTAGTTTGATTTCTAGAGACAATCTCAAGCCTCTCCTGGTGTTTTTTGGCCCAGTTGGGACCTTGAAAGCAATTTTGACTATCTCCATTCAGATTAGTGGTGTATAGATCCACAGTGTTTGGAATGACTAAAACGTACGATACCGAGTTGAAAGAAGTGAGTCGGGGGAATCTAAACTTCAGAGTGTACCTGGCTTTGTTGGTTTCTTTTGTTACATCCCAGGCCCACGTGATAAAGTTCTGGCTCAGGTAGGAGACGATCGAGTCGGTGCACATCATTTGGGAACAAAAGACGTTGCTGAGAACACTGTCATCATTGTGGAGGTAGATAGCCAGCAGCTTTCTCTGTGAAAACAGAGAACAGGTGGGAATTACAGGCAGGAAAGTGCATTGATTCAATAATTATCTGTAGTAGAAAATCAACAGTTGCTGGAATTTAAAGACTATCGGGTGAGATGATTTGACAAAAAACAAAAAGTAAAAGTCATTGTCTTTTGCCTTTTACATTTTAGAGTATCTCATCACAGCAAAGTAAATAAACAGACATCAAAAACAATTCTGTAAAATGCTAGAATGACTAGCACAGCCTACGGAGAGGCCATCGCCGACAAAAAAACAAAAAACAGCAAATACCAAACAAAGTCAAACGAAGGCCGGTGTAAATAAAACTTCTCATGGATGTGACGAAGATATAGAGAAAACAAAACAGACAAATCCCTTTATTTATTTTATACCAAATGCCAGCAGCCTGCTCAGGTTAGTAGCAGCAAGGCCAGACAATATTGACGAAGCTCCAAATCCAAGGATATCAATGCCATCACATAAGCCTGCTAGATTTTCCCTACTGACAATCTAATTAAAAAACAAACACACCCACAAACATAAAAGAGTTGAGGGCACAATGTTGGAAATAATGCTCTTTAAATTACATGTCACTTTGCTTGCTATCAAAGCACAAAACAAGAAAAACTCTCCGACTCTGCTCGGTTCGTTTTAAGCGCGTCTATGACGATAGGGAGTTAAGGGGTCCGCTTCTCAAGAACAGTAATCTGGGCTACGTGCGCCAAAAAGAGGGGGGAAAACAGTCTATACAGGGAGTAAAATGTGAGATGTGAAAGAAGTTGTGCTATACTGTGGCCTGTGTAGAATAGGAATGGGAGAGCACTGCTGTGTTTGCTCAACGATTAGTGCTTTAGAATAATCTTCAGGGCTCCTAGAGAGAAGGAGCTGGGACTCATTCACCGGGCCGATTCAACAGCCTGAAAAGATTAAACACTCATGCTGAGAAGACAAGCAAATTCAGTCGGGAGGGAGGAATGAGTCTGAGGAGAGTGAGTTTTAAAACACGAGGGGAGAATAAAAAAAACTGACACACATTCGACCACTGGTGTCCCAGCGCACATACACAAACTTAAGTCTGAACCCAGAAGCAGAGGATTTATACTCACACACATGCATGCTCAATTAGAGCAAGTGTAAAGACTAATCAAAGTGGGCATTTTGGGCAAACTGAACTCCTTCATCTTAGTTAAACTGTCAGTACCCCTCTGTTCCCTCTCCACTTTCAAGTTGAGATCTTTTGTATTGTCAGTCTTAGCAGGGAGGAGCAAATCCCTTAGTTCAGCTAAATTACTAGGTCCAACCTGAGCTGGATAGTGACCCCATAGCCCTCGCTCACACCTGTTCACCTAAATCACACCTCGCTTTGTGTGAGGAAGTCACTCACGGTTTCACACAGCAGAAAAACACTCGCACTTGGCCCTACAGGCACAATGAATAACCTTTTGTGAACTCAGATCAATAAGAACTTGATTAATTATGTTTTAAAAAATCTGAATTTTCCAATTAAAGCGAACATTTTTTCAATACAACATTTGTTTGGAATATTTGTCTAGGACATTAAAGTGTTGATTTAAACGACATCTTGCTAAAGACGCACACATGAAGTCCATGTAGGCCAAGGAGAAATGGACAGACAAAGGAAATAAACCAACTTCATTTTTTTAAATAGCTCTAATAAATTAGTTCAGTGTAAATACGTTTATGTTTTTTATCTAAACTTTTGCACTATTTGCAGCCTTCTAGCTCAGACAACCGCTATTGTATTAACTGGGCTCCTTAATTAGATGCAACAACAGGCTCTTTAATATTAACTGAACGCTGTGAAAAAGGTCTCAGTGCTGCTTACTTAAACACAGCTGCCTCCTTGATGGGATGGCACATTCAAAAATAACAAACAGCATTTAACAAATAGTGATTTATGTGTGAGAGAAGGGAAACAGCATGCACAATATTGCAATACTCAACTAATTATTAAAATATTGTATAATAATTGTATTACTATATCTGCCGTATTAATATATTCTTCTTGTTGTTTTGGCATACAACAATAGCTTTAACCAGTATTAATTTAAGACGAACACCAGCTTCACATCTTAATCATGTCCCAACTTTTCACTTGTTCTTCAAAAAATGGAAATTTGACATCAAAATTATTCACTTTATTAACATCATCCAACAATAGCCCGTCTATATAAAGCCAATGTTTAGGAAGAGTAAAACTTGTTTTACAAATATCTTCATATTTGTAACAGACATTTTCATAATGCCGCCAACTTCTCCCTCTCCACAGATCTTCTACCTTGTGTTATTCAGAATAATTCAATTTAGAAACGGTTACAATCAAAACCACTAATGCTAAACTAACACTAACCCTGCGAGACTTTAACCCTTTGATGCATAATGGTCACTACAGTGGACAGGTACTCAAAATTGTTATTTATTTTTGCTATTAAGCACAGCTGTTGAAGACTTTTTTGCATGTGAGCCCCTCCATTTGAGCTTCAGCAAGTCAAGCTAACATATTTCTTGTTCAGAATGCACGCTATCCACTGAGATGGACATGTAATAAATTATTTGTAAATTAACAAAATGTTACAAAAAATATTTGTTGAAATTTGTTTCATTCACACCTAAAGATAAATGAAAAAAATTGTTTAAAAAATCATGGTTGAAGATTTCATAATCCATGCATCAAAGGGTTAACCTGTATGTATAGAAATCCTAATATTTTTCTCTCCATCATAGTTGTTATTTAATTAGGGTCTTCCAGCTCGAAGCATTCTGACCAAAGTTGCTGGAGGGGTTGGGTCCAGGGGTGCTAATCATCATCATTTACTACAAACTACTGCAACACTAAAATGATTATTTTTATCAGCCTCAGTTTCACCATTGTTCAGCAATCGTGCTTCGACAGTTAAAAGTTCCCTTGGATCCAGTTCAAGGACTCCTACCTAACCTATTGTACATTCATGACTGAAGCACACTGAATACCTTCAAACTACTGTTTTAATATGCAGTACAATTAAATAATTAAATCATTTACTGTATTTTCCACACCATAAGGCGCTATTAAAAACCTTTGATCTTCACCTGAACCGGCAGTGCGCCTTTTAATACAGATGCGCCTTTTATACATGTATTAAGGTACTGGTAACTCTGGCCCAGCGCGGTACTCCCTATTGTGAATGAGAAGAATAAAGTTTGATTTTGATCTAACTCTTCGTTTGGCTTATTGTACCAATTACGCACTACTAGGTGGAGTAAGACTTCTCTGCTCGGCTCCCGGGTCATTACAGCCACACAGTGGCCGCACATAATGCTTTATCTCCGGCCGACTCGGCTCCTCTGTCCTGCAGCGGTAAGAGGGGCTAGCTGCGATCAGTCAGCCATGCCGTTACCAGAGTTTAAATCTTCATTCTTGCTGCTAAAAGCACCCGTGCATTAAATTGGGACTAAATGTTAATTTAATAATGAGAAATATATTTTTTAGTATAGATAATGAGTGGAGTAACGTTTGACTTTGATCTAATTGCCCAATTTGCCTTAATTGTGCCGACTGGGACGCTCGTTTGCTTTGCTGGGTGCGTTTTGATCCAGTGAGCCTTATGTGCGGACCAAACCTTTAACTAGGACGCTGATTGGCTGTGCGCCGTATAATCGGGTGAGCCTTATGGTGAGGAAAATACGGTAATACATTCATAATGAAAGTCAATGTTTTTGTGTCCAACCCAGAGGTCTTCATTTAGATTTTTTGCTGGGCTAAATTGTCACAAGGCTTTTGCCAGCAGACCACTCATTTCCAAGTACTCCATCTCTTGTATTGTATTCATCATCATGTCAGTATGCATGCAATTTGGTGAGTTATTTTGTAGCTTCCCAAGTGAAAATCACAAAACTTGGCTGACAGTTTAGAGCCAGTGTCTTTGTGTCTGTTGATCCCCTTGGCATGATGGGCAAAGCACATGAGCTTTCCCTCAGCATTTTGTATGTGTACAAGTTTCTATTTTCACTGTCAACCTTGCATCTCCTCATTTGGATGTGACTTGTTTTCCCAAGAAAACGCTGTTGTAAACTTTCCACCAGCAGCATCAACAACGGAGCTCCCTGCCTTAAAATGTCACAAAATGCATAAAATTAAGTCACAGCGATTAAACAAAAATGTACTAAGACGTATGAGGACAATGGCCTGACCCAAAATGACAGATGGGCCAGTTCTGGCCCTTGGTCCACCTATTGAACAGGGCTGATCTAGACCATAAGTTTTTTTTAATTAAAACTGAAAAAGCAAAATTGTAAAACACATTAGCTTAAAACCTTTTTTATGCCTCTCAAAGTTTAAAATAGTATAGCTATAAATATACACTGTCAAGTCGCCAGTCTTCCCCATGATTGTGTAGCGTACAGAAGTAGACTGAGAGACTGGGGGAAACTGTGGCACAGGAGTTAAGTGATGGCCCCAAAATTAGAAGGTTGCAGGTTCAAGCCCCACTCAGTCTGTCACTGTCGTAGTGTCCTTGGGCAAGACACAACCCACCCCGTTGGTGGTGGTCAGAGGGACCGGTAACGCCTGTGTACGGCAGCCTCACCTCTGTTGGTGTGCCCCAGGGCAGCTGAGGCTACAATGTAGCTCATCACCACCAGGGTGTGAATGACTCATTAAGTTGTAAAGCACCTTGGGGGGGGGGGGGGTTCAGGGACTCTAGAAGGCCATTTATCATATATTATGGAGATAATAATAATAATTAATTAATTAAAGTGGTTCTCTATCAAATATCAAATATCAAAGCAGACACATATTTTAAACAGATTTTGTATTTCACTGATCTCAAAGCGCTGCTCCATACATGACAGATTAGATTGCACCAGTGGAACAGCTCCTGAGCGGGTAGGAATCACAGCTGCATAAAGTTGACAGTTAAGGACTACATGGGGATATTTTACCTGCTTCCTGCATCTTTACCTGTACCGTACACCAATCTAGCTCTTAATCTATCCATTTCTCC